GACTGGGCATTGGTGAGACTAGGTATTGGTGAGACTAGGCATTGGTGAGACTGGGTATTGGTGAGACTGGGTATTGGTGAGACTGGGCATTGGTGAGACTGGGCATTGGTGAGACTGGGCATTGGTGAGACTGGGCATTGGTGAGACTAGGTATCGGTGAGACTAGGCATTGTTGAGACTGGGCATTGGTGAGACTGGGCATTGGTGAGACTAGGTATTGGTGAGACTGGGCATTGGTGAGACTGGGCATTGGTGAGACTGGGCATTGGTGAGACTGGGCATTGGTGAGACTAGGAACTGGTGAGACTAGGCATTGGTGAGACTGAGTATTGGTGAGACTGGGCATTGGTGAGACTGGGCATTGGTGAGACTAGGCATTGGTGAGACTGGGCATTGGTGAGACTGGGTATTGGTGAGACTGGGCATTGGTGAGACTAGGCATTGGTGAGACTGGGCATTGGTGAGACTAGCCATTGGTGAGACTAGGCACTGGTGAGACTGGGCATTGGTGAGACTAGGTATTGGTGAGCCTAGGCGTTGGTGAGACTAGGCATTGGTGAGACTGGGCATTGGTGAGACTGGGCACTGGTGAGACTGGGTATTGGTGAGACTGGGTATTGGTGAGACTGGGCATTGGTGAGACTGGGCATTGGTGAGACTGGGCATTGGTGAGACTGGGCATTGGTGAGACTTGGTATTGGTGAGACTAGGCACTGGTGAGACTGGGCATTGGTGAGACTAGGCATTGGTGAGACTGGGCATTGGTGAGCCTGGTCATTGGTGAGACTGGGCATTGGTGAGACTAGGCATTGGTGAGACTAGGCACTGGTGAGACTGGGCACTGGTGAGACTGGGTATTGGTGAGACTGGGCATTGGTGAGGCTAGGCATTGGTGAGACTGGGCATTGGTGAGACTAGGCATTGGTGAGCCTGGGTATTGGTGAGACTAGGCATTGGTGAGACTGGGCATTGGTGAGACTGGGCATTGGTGAGACTGGGCATTGGTGAGACTAAGCATTAGTGAGACTGGGTATTGGTGAGACTAGGCATTGGTGAGACTGGGCATTGGTGAGACTGGGCATTGGTGAGACTGGGCATTGGTGAGACTGTGCATTGGTGAGACTGTGCATTGGTGAGACTGGGCATTGGTGAGACTGGGCATTGGTGAGACTGGGCATTGGTGAGACTGTGCATTGGTGAGACTGGGCATTGGTGAGACTGTGCATTGGTGAGACTGGGCATTGGTGAGACTGGGCATTGGTGAGACTGGGCATTGGTGAGACTGGGCATTGGTGAGACTGGGTATTGGTGGAACTAGTCACTGGTGAGACTAGGTATTGGTGAGACTGGGTATTGGTGAGACTAGGCATTGGTGAGACTAGGTATTGGTGAGACTAGGCCATAAAGATGGCTGTCTCTGGTGTAGGCCAATCGCTTTCAAAGACTATGCCCATATATTATATTATCAGCACAATGTTTGTTTGCATGTTCACCACAAGTACCGTGTGTGGCTAATGCAGACATGATTCCTGGCAAAAAGGTTTATATTTGGTGTTTGAACATCTTAACACTTGTTTTATTGCCAGAAAGGATAGCAACTATTCTTATGGTTCATAATCTTTCATTAATTTACGTATTTGCAGGATATAATTGTACCCGTATATAATCCACGGTTCCCGAAATATTGTCATCATTTGAAGGTGGCGTTTCCCCAATGTAATTTTTCTTAATAAACCCGCACCGACGATTATCATGGTTTGCTATGCGCGGTGCTAAAGAATAAGTTCAACATGCATACTGTACATACAAACCATGTGACGTCCGTAGAGATTTACAATATCTTAGCCCATTTACAGCTTGCAGTGTGAATTCAATTGAATTCTATTTTATAATGGTATATTGTATAATTCCGGAAATCACTTGCACTTCTATTTTACAGACAATTCTGCACACACAACAAAACTGACTTCGTGAAAAAAAGTGTCGCTCATCCCGATGGGGTGCCGCGGCGAGCCGGAACTCGGACACGCGAATTCCGAATAAAGATGAGGAAAAATAATTCCCACGCGCTCAAAGTCCGAGGGGCGAAGAAGGCCTGCCCACGAAGACACAAACGTGGCAGCGTTTCATTTCGGCGTTGGGTCAGCGGAGGCGTCGGTGGTAACCCGCTCGACTCGTACGCGCGACGATGTGCAAGCCCCCCCAGAGGGCCCACTGCGGTGGCGTTCGGACGGTGTTTGACAGCAGGCTGTCATCACCACCCACGCAGGTGTCTCGTGCATCGCCGCACTTTCCAACGCGGACGTGCCCGACTATACGTTTTTTTTTTGACGAGAGCTACAGAGGTGGCATTCCTAAGGTGTTGTGTGCATACCAAAAAACCGCCACTAAGTGACGGTGACTTCACCACGCTGCCTGTGCCAGGCCAGGTGCACTTTGAGGCCACGTGAAGTGCTGAAGGCTCGCTGACAGGAGGTCTCGGGGCAGACTCAGGTGCCATGGGTCGGCTGATTTAGATGACCGGTAGATACACACCAGCTATCCTCCCCACTGTGCCAGCTTGCTTTATTTCATCCGCACCGGGGCTCCGCTCGTTGTTGTGAGCGTCGCTCCTCGGCCCTCCGTTGTTGTTGGAGGGCGACTGCCTCCAACTGCCCAGCAGCAGCAGCGTCCTTCACGAGCCTCCTCCACAGAGGCCGATCTTGACGCCGCCGGTACCAGTCGTCGGCAAGTCCACTCAGCTCCACGTCCTCCCGTACGGATGCACAAACAGCCGGAGGAATGCGCGGAGGGCCGTCGAGGTTAGTCTCCACAATGAAATTCCACTCGGAGACAGGGGGGCGTCTGAGTGCCAAATACTCAAGGTGGGGGTGGGGGGGGGGGGTTATTTTCTTTTTTGTTGTAGCTTTCAGGAACGACCGTTTTCCGAGGGTTACTTATAACACCGCGCGCACGCGCGTCTTCATCCCTCGGAAGTTTCTAGGGAAAAGGAAAGAAGAGCGACATCACTGAATGGTGTTTGCGGTCAAATGTGCTCTGCGTTAAAAGGGGGCTTTAAAAGAGAACAGAGCAATAACGTCACTCTCTCTCTATCTGGCCATTGAAATACAAAATTCCTCCGAGGCTAATACGAACGAGAAACATTGCGCACATTTTAGGTCTGAAGAGCTTTCACAGGATTACGGGCGAAGCAGTACGGCGCACACGCACTTTCAAAGTTCGTTGTGAGAATTTCTGGGATAAACGCTCAGCAGTTCCACATCGTTAGCGACAGTTACGACTTATTGCACACACACTGTACGTGGGAATCCGCAAGATCACCCTTTAAGGCATCTGTCGGGCAATACATTGACCGCAGCGTTGAATAGATTTTTTCAAATTGTATTTTGTGTCGCGGTGTAAAGTTACTTACTTGAATTGTATACAGTGCTGCGATGGATTATGTGATTTATGGTCAATTCCAAGCAATATAATACGGTGAATGTATGACTCACGTTGCATCTGGATCTGAGATAATTTTCACTTAACCGGGCATGGTGGTGCACGCCTGAGATCCAGACCTCTGGAGGTAAGGGTTGGTGGATCCACGCAGGATTGTGAAACCACAACCCGCTGGGCTATGAGCTGGGCCAAGAGATGGCAGTGCAGAACATCGTATTATGAAACCATCTGCGTGGAGCCTTGAGCGTTTTCTCCCTTGCTTGGAATGGGGTTTGTCTCCAGGTCACGCTGGATTCCTCCAACATGCCACTCATTCGTCGAATTGGCCGAAAACAGCGCAAGGGCAGGACCATCATGGACACAAAGTCTTGAGACAGACAGTAAGGCTTGCTGGATAAACAACGGTCATGATCAATTGTACTGAAGCAGGTGGTAATCGAGGAGACCACAAGAGCCTCCCTTGCAAGAGAGAGATCTGTGTCACCAAAAATTACAAAAATAAATAAAAAAAGGGGCCGTGAAAATATAAGTCGGAGACAAAAAAAAAATAACCGCGTCACGTGACAAATAAAATATATTGCACAAACGTAATATATTGTTGTATGATACATTCCTTGCAGCGTAAGTCGACTCCAGGCGATTATGTCTCAGATTGATCATAGTTCACGTATAGTCGATTACACTGCATTTAAACAATGAAAAATATACCGTACAATATGCAACGTAAAAAGGGCTATTGCCTGAAACGTCGCTAAGCTATATTATATAGCATTATACAGTGCGCGGCGGTGGCGAGATGTTAACTACCTTACTTGGTATGCAGGAGGTCGTGGGTTCAACCCCGACCCTGACGCCTGCTGCTGTATATTTGGAGTTTGCGTGTCTCTCTCTCTCATCATCATCACGGTGTCTCGGAGATGTTAACAACCTCGCCTGCTACACAGGAGGTCGTGGATTCAACCCCGACCCTGACGCCTGCTGCTGTATATTTGGAGTTTGGGTGTTCTCCCCGTGGCCTTTCGAATTTCTCCCTCCACATTTATAAACGACGAGTCGTTTTAGAGCATTTTGCTGCTCTGAATTTCCACGTGATGAGCTGTCATTTGTGGCCAGGTCGCTTCTAAAAAATGGCAATACAGCTCAGCGGGGCTTGGTAATATAAATAAATTGTTTCCTTTTAATGCCACTCTTGTTGTTCCCGGCGGCGTCCAGTTCCAAATTAACGCAGGTAGCATAACGAAACACGACAGACTCATCCGCATGCGTAAAGCATGCAGCATGCAATCGCATGCGGGGTCACTCCACACACACACCAAGGGCTTTTGCTCCGCCTCTGGGCCGTACCAGGTCCCCCGCCTCCACACTTACAACTTTAAAGCGCTGCTGCTGCTGCTAGTCCGGCACAGCGCGCAAGGTGGGGACATTACTCTCTGTGGCGAGCAGGGGGCGGACACCGAGAGCAGGGGAGACACGGGGAGGACACACGGGGAGAGAGACGGGGAGGACACACGGGGAGAGAGACGGGGAGAGAGGAGACACGGGGAGAGAGAGAGAGACAGAGAAGAGACACGGGGAGAGAGACGGAGAGAGAGAGAGGAGGAGGCACGGGGGTAGAGGAGACGCAGGGAGAGAGGAGGAGGAGGAGGCACGGCGCTTGTTGCCATGGCCCGGAGCTCCCGTGCTACCACGAGGGGTAGCAGCAGCAGCAGCAGCGGCTCTCTGCTGCTCGCCATCCCCACCACCACCTTCACCACCACCATCATCATCTCCACCACCTTCCTAGCCTTGCTCTGCCTCGCTGCGCCTTGCGGAGGAGCGCAGCTGCTGCAACAACAACAGCATCATCATCAGCATCATCACCGGCACCAGCTTCATCGCCCGCAGCACGAGGAGGAGCAGCAGCAGCAGCAGCGGCAGGAGGTGGTGGTGGTGGAGGATGCGGGGGGCCACAGCCTGCACCCCCCTTACTTCAACCTGGCCGAGGGGGCCGCGATCTCGGCCACGGCGACGTGCGGCCACGAGGCGGGAGGACTGCCTCGGGAGCAGCTCTACTGCAAGCTCGTGGGCGGGCCCGTGGCCGGGGACCCCGCGCAGACCATACAGGTGGGGCGTCAGTATGGGGGCAGGGGGGCGGGGGGGGTAGGGGGGCAGGGTGGTAGGGGGGCAGGGTGGTAGGGGGCAGGGTGGTAGGGGGGCAGGGTGGTAGGGGGGTAGAGGGGCAGTGGAGTAGGGAGGCAGGGGGGTAGAGGAGTAGGGGGGTAGAGGAGTAGGGGAGTAGAGGGGCAGTGGAGTAGGGGGGCAGGGGGGTAGAGGGGCAGGGGGGTAGAGGAGTAGGGGGGCAGAGGGGCAGGGGAGTAGGGGGGCAGGGGAGTAGAGGGGCAGGGGGGTAGAGGAGTAGGGGGGTAGAGGGGCAGTGGAGTAGGGGGGTAGAGGGGCAGGGGAGTAGGGGAGTAGAGGGGCAGGGGTGGTAGAGGGGCAGTGGAGTAGGGGGGCAGGGGGGTAGAGGGGCAGGGGAGTAGTGGAGTAGGGGGGTAGGGGGGTAGGGGGGCAGGGGGGGCAGGGGATTAGGGGGTAGGGGGGTAGGGGAGTAGGGGGGTAGGGGGCAAGGGGGATAGAGGGGCATGGTTGTAGGGGGCAGGGGAGTAGGGGGGTGGGGGGGTGCAGGAAGGGAAGCGACACGTGCGGAGTGTGAGAGCCGGGATGACCGCACCTGCATTGTGTGTACAGAGACAAAGATCCCCCTCATTTAGGCAGCCTGTCTGCGAGCAGCTGCGATTGTCGGTGCTGATGTGTCCACAGTGCGCCAGGTGGGAGTCTTTGTAAAGGCTGAGTCGACCTGACATTGGCCGTGAGCGGGAATCGAACTCGGGTAGCCGGGTTGGTAGCGGTGGGGGGGCAAACAGCTACATCACACACATCACACACAGTACACACATCACACACAGCACACACAGTACACACATCACACACACAACACACACAACACACACTCACACACAACACACACACACAGTACACACATCACACACAGTACACACATCACACACACAACACACACAACACACACATCACACACAGCACACACAGCACACACCCAACACACACAACACACACAGCACACACAACACACACAACACACACATCACACAATCACACACAACACACACACAGTACACACATCACACAAAACACACACAACACACACATCACACACATCACACACATCACACACAGCACACACACATCACACACACACAGCACACACAGTCACACACACAGCACACACAGTCACACACACAGCACACACAGCACACACAGTCACACACACAGCACACACATCACACACAGCAGGGACGTGCGGGCAGGAGAGGCAGGGCCTCCTCCATCTGTCATACTCCAATGAAAATAGCTGTTACGAAAAAAAACAATAAGAAAGTAAAATAAATGGTTAAGATTTTCCCACTGATCTGTGTTATAATTTATGTACGATTCCAATCATTTTGATCGTCAACATCGCCAAATCTGCGGAGCTCCGCTGCAAATAGAGGGAGAGACGACAGGTGAGGCAGCGACGAGCTCAGCCTCCCCTCTGATTGCGCAACCCCTCAGTAACTGGATGGAGCGCGGGCAATAAGCGCGTGCCTGTTACTATCTCAGTATGTCACCAATGTACTGTTTGTAGACCCCTTCATTTTATGTCCTCGCCTTCCATACGCCAGGTAACTTATATTACGTATGTGTGTAAAGATATTTAGGCTCGCTGGTCTCGTCGTGAAACTGCAATGAAAAGTGTGATACACACATAACCACCCACACCTGTTGTATGTATACACCCGTGTGTATGTATACACCCGTGTGTATGTATACACCTGCTGTATGTATACACCTGCTGTATGTAGACACCCGTGTGTATGTATACACCCGTGTGTATGTATACACCTGCTGTATGTAGACACCCGTGTGTATGTATACACCTGTTGTATGTAGACACCCTGGTGTATGTAGACACCCGTGTGTATGTAGACACCTGTTGTATGTATACACCCGTGTGTATGTATACACCTGTTGTATGTACACACCTGTTGTATGTACACACCTGTTGTATGTATACACCCGTGTGTATGTATACACCTGTTGTATGTATACACCTGTTGTATGTATACACCTGTTGTATGTAGACACCCGTGTGTATGTAGACACCTGGTGTATGTAGACACCCGTGTGTATACACGCGTGTGTATGTATACTTAATGTATACACCCGTGTGTATGTATACACCTGTTGTATGTATACACCCGTGTGTATGTATACACCTGTTGTATGTATACACCCGTGTGTATACACCCGTGTGTATGTGTACTTAATGTATACACCTGTTGTATGTATACACCTGTTGTATGTAGACACCTGGTCTATGTAGACACCTGTCTCTAATGCAAGGCCGTAGCCATGGAGTCAACAACATTGGGGAAGAACAAATCTTCCAGGGGGTCTAAGGGGTCCCCCCCCCCAAGGAAAAAAAATCTAAATTGTAAAACTAATTTCCTGCCTAAAATATTTAAAAAATTCACTAACACATGGGATTGACTTTTTATTTATGTTTTACAATAATGTCTATAAATAGTGTATTGTATTACATTGCTCTGTTTTTTATTTGTTACCTTTTCTTGTTTCATTGTATGTCATGGCAGAGATTCGGGATTAATAAAGTACAACCATAACTACAATCATATAAACACAAATCTATGCATTGTTGCATGAAGTCAAGTCCACATATTGTGCCCAAGGTTTAGTAAATTGTTCTTTTTATTTAAATAGCATAGCAATTATTGTTTCAAAAATATTATTTATAGCAATATATTGGGGGGGGGGGACATTTTGAGCATATTTGAATATTGGGGGGATGCATTAGAGCAAGGCCGCAATTATAATATACATTGGGATGTGTGTCCCCCCCAATAGATATTATAATTACTGCCTTGCTCTAATGCATACACCTGTCCGTATGTACCAGATCCTGGTATGCATAGACCTGCCTCTATGCACGGACCTGTCTGTATATACCTCTGTGAAGCGTGTGCCGTGTGTAGTAATATCAGCAGTCCGCTGCCTGTGCACAGGACAACCACGTGGCCGCATCCTGCAAGTCGTAGCTCGTGTTTGTTGTCCGGGTCAGAACGTGCACGTGCTGGTCGAGACGTGACCTGAAGCCTACACCTGAACGCCTCAATCCCGCACGATTTACCAAAGCGCAGTCGATCCGTCATCACTCTGTCGTCCGGTTAGCACTCGATTCATTGTACAATTAGTTGCAACTCAAATTCTGGGCCTCCGTTAGCACGCGTGCCTCTGGACGGGAGGTTAATGGGCAGAGCCTGGTGACGCCGTCGGTGGCATCATCATCATCATCATTGTCCCGACTGGGCGTGGCTTGTAGGGGGTTTCCCACCTTCGGTAGGTAGTTTATGAGGGTGAAGCGCCAGCAAGATGATAAAGACAAAGACCCCAAACGCCCGTGTAGCCTTAGCAGACTGTTGGGGCAAGTGCTGTTAGCGAGCACCTACGAAGGCCGTCACGGCACACGATGGGGTGTGTGGCCAGCACCACGCCCACCCGCCTTCGTCTCCCCAGTGGCGATGATTTTACACACCAGGTACTCATTTGAGGCTGAGTCGACCTAGGGGAGGCGAAGGAACCGGTTCAGATAATCGTCACCGGGTGTTGGCCGTGAGCGGGAATCGAATTTGGGTCGCCGGGTTCGTAGCGCAGCGTAGCGCTAACCGCTACACCACCGCTCCCCACACACACAGACACGCCTGTGCACATGCATATCACTGTTCTACACACACGTCAGTTTCACACACACACCTGTGTCTTCATGTACCTGTCGACAAATATATCTATCCATAGTTTAGAAATACTTGCTGTAGTCGTGTATTTGGCTTGTCGGTTCTTTACCTGTTTTGGTGTGGGTGAAGTATGGTCAAGTAACCCCCCCCCCACCCCCAACGCCGTGCAGGGGCGTCGGGAAGGCCCCCCTCATCCAGCAGTAGATTGACAAACAGGTGTGTGATTTACTTTATTTTATACCCACGTGACTTTACCGAAAGAACCAAAGAGTATGGATCCCTGCAGTCACGAAAACTTCAAATCTAGACTAAACAGGTGTGTGTGTGTGTACACGTACTCTTTGGTTCTATTCGGTAAAGTCACGTAGGTAAAAAATAAAACAACAAAAATCACGACGTTTCGGCCACAACACAAGCGGCCTTCATCAGGTGAAGGGACCAGGCTGTCTCGAGGTCCCTTCACCTGATGAAGGCCGCTTGTGTTGTGGCCGAAACGTCGTGATTTTTTGTTGTTTTATTTTTTTTACCTATGCGACTTTACCGAATAGAACCAAAGAGTATGGATCCTTGCAGTCACGAAAGCTTTAAATCTAGAATTGTGTACACGTACATGTCTAAACGTACCGGTCTGTTGTAGTTCTACAATATCACGTGTGCCATCTCCCAACGCCGAATTTCAGCCGCAGCAGCCGCGATGCTGTTCCGGGGATTGTTTCGGCACCCCACAATCCATCCTGTCTAATATCGCCCCATAATACTTAATCTACATGATAATAATAATATAACAATCAAGTCAACTTGTAACGCGCTGCACAGCCGGGCGGCGAGACGGTACCAGCAGTTGCCCCCCACCCCCCCCCCCCCCCACAAGCTCTGCAGTCCTCTACGTGTTGAGGTGTTATAGGCCAATTAATGAGTGTTCACATGTGGGAGGAAGCCGGAGCATCTGGAGAAAACCCACGCTTGCGAGGGGGATACACACCGGTGCTTATCTATTAGAGGAATGCGCACTACAATACAAGGCCGAGAATCTCCACTCCAAGCAAGATTAAGCCCTGGATTCACCTCTTTGCATACTCCTGAATTGGCTATGTGCACCTCCCTCCACGCACCTGTCTGCATGCGGGGACACGAAATACGGTCGGCCTTCGTGTGCCCGTATCACGGTCCAACTTACCACGATTCAAAACTACACCACTCAGTTACTCAATTGCGGTCACACACGGCAGAAATCATCGTCTCCTACTGGTAGCC